TACATCTAAGGAAAGCATTTGCTTCCTCTTCGCCCAGTCCTGGATATGTCAAATTCTACTTACCATGGAGTGGCAAAGTGGCTAGGTGAACTCCTCCAACCGCTACACAAATTGGTAGTAAACAATAATGTTAAAGACGTTTTCGAATTTATTGCTAACGTGAATGATATCAATGTAAATGGGAAGCAAATGCTTTCCTTAGATGTAGCGTCACTGTTTACCAATGTACCACTTATGGAGACTGTGGATTTCATATGCCAACAGATACTAGAAAAGCAGATTGACATCGGAATTCCAGTTATTAGTCTGAAAGAGTTGCTTTTAAGATGTACTATGAATGTACACTTCTTATTCAACAACCTTTACTACAGGCAAATCGACGGTATTGCCATGGGTTCTCCATTGGGGCCAATTTTGGCAGATTTCTTTCTAGCCAAGATTGAAAATGGTCCATTGAGACAAGTAATAGAGGAAACTGATTCTTATTTTCGTTATGTTGATGATACGTTCATTATTCTTGATGTGAAAACTGACAAGAATGAAATGTTAAAAAAGTTTAATGATGCACATCCATCGCTCATCTTCACTTGTGAAGAAGAACATGATGGTGGATTACATTTCCTTGACGTCCAATTGAGCAGAAGAGAGGATGGTTCACTCAAGAGAGATGTCTATAGAAAACCTACATCTGTAGGACAATATACACATTTCCTCAGTTTTGTACCAATCCGATATAAAATCAATTTGGTCAGATGCCTTACGAATAGAGCAAGACGTATTTGTACAGATGACTCCCTAGAAAATGAGCTAGGATACATTCAAAATACGCTGGTCCAAATGGGTTATCCTAGTAGATTTGTTAGGAGACACATGAATACCAGGTACAACAAAGAAAAACTGACAACAGTTAAAAAGAAAGAACTGTTCATGAAACTTCAATTTAATGGGGACGTGGCTAGTGAAGTCTTACATCTGAGATTATCGAGAGCGATAAAACGGACTTATACTGCCGCCACCCTTTGTTTGTCATTTTCCAGCCGACCAATTTTGATTGCTCAAGTGAAAGATAAGCTACCTAGTTGTGCCACTTCGATGTGTATCTATAAATTTAGTTGCTCCTGTGGAGAAAGCTATATAGGGCGAACAACTAGACAGCTGAACAAACGCATTAATGAGCATCTTCCTTCATGGTTTGGAAAAGGTCAAATAAAATCCATACGAAGTTCTATTTTGGCTCATTTGATTGATAGCGGTCACCAAGTGGACAAAAATAGTGCTTTCAAAGTTATCTATCGTATTCCATCGAGTCTTTCGAATGGAATCAGAAACCGTCTTTTACACCTAGCCGAAGCTATGGGAATTCGAGAGAACAATCCTAGTCTTTGCATACAAAAGAAGTTTGTTCTACCTTTGTCTCTCCCTTGGCCTAGGTGAACTGTATTCAAAACCCTCCCACCCTTTCTTATTTTCCACCTCCTTTGTACTTTTATAATATTTATTTAAACTCTGATTATCGTTCCACTTCACCTTTTAAGATTTGACCCAATTTATTTATACACTTATATACATATACTATCTTTGTTATTCTTATCATCTGCATAAACCTTATTATCAATATTTTGTTATCATTATAATCATCGTTATTAACTATGTTCAAAACATTTACCACATTATTATTATTATTATTATTAAGACTATTAAGATTATTATTTGATTCCCAAAATCACCGTCATTGGTTAAAATTTTATATATAAATCTATGTAAATTAGAGTAAAGCCTGAAGAAGATCTAATTGAAAACAATATTGTTCGCTTATATGTCTTGTTCTAACATATATTTTTAACAAAAGTAGACTAATTTTGAAAGTCTGAGGTCAAATTTTGATCACAGTTCATATTAAAATTTTGTTTTGTTTTGTTTTGTTTTGTTTACTATACCTATTGATAGCTGTTTATTGATTCACATGACAGGACAAACAATTTAAAAACAAGAAATGTGCTTTCATACATAAACATACTATTTTATTTATTTATTATACATGTTGATACCTGTTGCAGGACGCCTGATTGGACAAAGTTTAAAAACAAGGCTTGTTCCTTTTATATATAAACATGTTTATTTTTAATTCGATTAATTTCCCTGAAGAAGTTCGGACCAGATTGCCGAACGAAACGTTGGAATTAATCATTTCAATTTCGCTGAGATTTTACAAATATAATTTTATAAAAGTGTAGAGATGTCTAACGTAATCTCTGAATGAAAGAATATTTCATAACGGAATCCATCAATGCTAAACAAATTAAACAGTCCACAATTTCAGCTCACGAATAAAAACTCCTCTACTACTACTATTTGAATCAGGCAGTGGTTGGGATGACGCAGAATTGTCCCACTAAACAGTCTGAATACATTTGAATATTCATCTTGTCAATGAACTCAGGGATTTCTACAGTCTACACAATAATACAAAACAGTAAAAACACTGCAAATTGATTGTCAACATTAATATGTTGACAATGACGTCTTCAATTGAAACACACGCGCACACACACACACAGTAACACTTAGTAACTTGCTAAGACTATTCAATATTGATCAGTCACTAGGACGTAACAGACCACATCCACAAGAACCTCTTAGTATTAGTGCTGACTGAATCCCACCAGTCGTGTTCGAAATGTGGTCAGCAAGCCAGGGAACTCACTAGTCTCATACAATCTGAATGAATACTAGGTGAACAGGGACAGTCGACAGGTAGTCCTGCACGTAAGTTTCATCTCACTCACCGCCACTCGTCAACGAGACATATCCACGACATCAGAGAAGACGATGAACCCTCCAAAATTCAAACTCGTGTCACTCAGTACTTCAATCCGCGTCATTAAACACTAAACATTTCGAGGTTAAGGAAAACTACTAGTTACATTCACATAAGTGAGTGGGAAAACACCATGCTGACCAGTGCCAGAGTTTCAAACAGATTGCCGCCAATAACCTGACTACACATAACAAATTGTGTCTCTTTCATTCCTTCGATTTCAAATTGGAACACACCGTCTCATACTTTGGCCTTCAAGATTCAATGGAGAGGGAGTTGCTCCATATCTAGTGGAACTACTTCTAGTCACACAACCATCCATCACGCGATCCTAGCGCTTACCACCAGCTAGTAATCAAGGCGAGATTTAGCAGTCAATCATCCCGAAATCGGACAACGATGAAACTACCCAATGACGTAAAATACCTTAACAATGAAAAATTCAAAGCAAACAATCCCTCAATAGATGTGGACAGAATTATGAGAAGAAACAAATATCAATAAGATGAATGGGAGGACAGAAATCTGTTTCCACTGTATTTCCATGAACCGACATCACCGATTAAACACACGTGATCCACAACTAAACTCATAAGTGTAGGCACCTCACACAAACGGTCGAATTCACCCAAAGCTTAATCAATGACCAACGGAATTAACCGTCAACACGCTTCACCTCGTAGGTTCGACCGTTAGTAGGGTCGCGGGCACCTCTCCCGAGGCGTCCCACACTACGATGAAAAAGCCATCCGCTGCCCCATGGTTCTCCATACTCTCCATAACTGACAACACTCTTTCGTCGCGAAACCGGTCATTTAACATTAAATCAGAGAGTCACTCAAATAACTCCACCTGTGAATCTAGGCGACTCCTATATTATTATATGTAACTGGTTAGTCGCCGTTTACGGATTATCCAGTGTCTCAATATCCCACAAACAATCCTCCTCTCGAAGCAGTCTTCTTCTCTCAAACCACACCCCAGCAATCTACAATGCACAAATCACAAACCAAAGCACATAATCAGTGCACTCTAAGCATCGTCAAAATGCTCCATCTCAAAACCAAATCAAAAACTGTCGAACATCTGTATGACCACCGTACCATTGCAGTCACACAACTTTGACACTCTTCTACAAAATATCATCAACATCATCGGTCATCACCTACATACACTGTTGCTCGCTGCAAACATTTCTCTCTAAACAACACTAGGAATCAATCTAACACTCTCACGAGATACGTGGAACCACAGGAACGACAACTAGCAATTCACCAGTTGTCTAGCTACAATTTAAGTGAAGTGTTTCACTGGTCTCACTCAGCATTCCAATGTTGGTTATACCACTAGTCAGGAACACTGCACTACCTCATTTCACCCATGGTGAATAAACATCAACACATATTCAGTGAAATGATTGACACAAATCAGTACAGTCGTCAATTCACACATGGATTCACATCCTAAACAAAATCAAACATAACATTCGACGATTTTCTAAAACATGATTCAGTTATTCATGGAAACCACACTACAGGGATCCTCAAATATATAAATATTAATTAACTTAAACAAATACCATGACGAAGTGTTTTCAGATTTCAAAAGTATGCCAACCAAATGAAATGTGAGTACTATCAGGACTTCAGCACTATTATTTTACCATAGCAAGGAAGGAAGCAATTGAGTCGGACAGGGATTAGCATTCAGAATTATTTCCTGTCGACACTCAAATTAACATCTACATTTTAATTCCTACTTCACCATTAGCAACATACACTGCAATAACACATAATCATCATCATCATCATACCATCATCATTAGAACAACTCGCTCTCCACAATCACCACTCTCATCACCTATGTTACATAAAAACTCTCTTTGTCCACACGAGAAAGAAACTTTCAAATAGAACATGCTAGTAATACAATAGCAATGGTATGAGTGAGTGTAGACGAAAGGTCAGTCAGCCTTCCTATTGGCTGTAAGTGGAAGATTTTCTCTACCCCATGCATCGATTGACCTAGCTAATGGCCTTAGCCATTTCGACCAATGTCTGCGCTGATCTTGTCGACCTTGTAATTTAAACTATGAAAAAGGTCATAGGGAGAAATGTGGCTCAACTTTCTGAGAGACAGTGACAGCTAAATAGAGCGGTGTAGCAGTGTTAGGCTGTCTCGTGTCGGTTCTCGTCAAGTCATTCTCTTGAATCATGTCTGGTCGTGGTAAAGGCGGTAAGGGATTGGGAAAAGGAGGAGCCAAAAGACATCGAAAGGTTCTTCGTGACAACATCCAAGGTATTACGAAGCCAGCTATCCGTCGTCTCGCTCGTCGTGGTGGTGTGAAGCGTATCTCTGGCTTGATCTACGAGGAGACTCGTGGTGTTCTCAAGGTGTTCTTGGAGAATGTGATCCGTGACGCTGTTACATACACAGAGCATGCGAAGAGGAAGACTGTGACGGCTATGGATGTTGTGTATGCATTGAAACGCCAAGGTCGTACTTTGTACGGTTTTGGTGGTTAGTTATCTCAGCGTGTGTGGGTGGATGTTTTGTGACCAGTGAGTGGTCCGCACGAGAACGAATCAAGGTCCTTTTTAGGACCACCACATTTTGGTTAATCAATGTTGTTCAGCTTTTCTTTTTCTTCGCGAGGGTTTGTGTTTATGGGGGGAGTGAGTGGGTTATTAGTCATCTGTTTACGCGGTTAACAAAATAGAGATCTATCAGTGGGGGTTGAGGTAGCTACTTAACTCGTATGTGTGTTAACTGTTACATCGTGCACCTTGGTGGCTGTGGTTAGGTGTAGTGAGTCCTTGATGCTTCAGGTCTGCGGCTTAGTTTCCGAATGTACTTGAGCGTTTCGTCCCTTTAATCCCGAGGAGTATTGGTGGTGAAGTGATCAATTGTGCGCAATCATTCTTAGTCTCAGATATTGTTCAGTGGTCAAGGGTGGCATATTATTCTACCGGTAACCCAACAGTCCTCCATATCGCGATAACAGTGTATACTTGCGTTACGACCCTGATGAGTAGGCTTACTGATATTTGAAGCCATTTGCGGAATAGTGGAGTAGTCGACTACGCCCTTATTTTCTTAGTCTAACGTTGGGGTAAAGTGCCACATAATTCCTATACTCCGTGATTTTCACCACGAACAGAACCCATCAGTTGTAGCATTGTATTATGCATAGTTTACTGACAATCATGATTGAACAGAATTTCTTCGACGACCGGTGTAGGTTCGGCTCCTGTACATGAAAACATTTTATTCCTAGCTGGCGAGATGAATTTTACCCGTCAAAGTTGACGGAGCGCAAACGCTAATGGGGCATTAGTTGTAACATATCGTTGTAAGGTCTACAGTTTCTTGTCACTCATGTGTGAACAGAATTATCTCCACGACCGGTGTGGGATGTGTTTCTGTTCATGATAACACTTAGTGTATTTAAGGAGAAATAACCACTAAGCATATTGAGTATCAGACCCATGGTCGTACTACTATCGCTGTCGAGATGAATTTTATCCCTGTGTCACACCAGTCAAAGATGATTCAGCGCAGACTTTAACTGGGCACCGGCGAATAAGAGTGGAAGGAAATTCACTAGAACCACTAATATCGCTAGCAAAATGACTGATGATAGAGGCAACTCTTCCCTTGCAAACAGTCATGTAAAAATGTTTGAAGCACTACCTAAAAAAGTAATAAAAAAACTGAACAAAAGTAGTTCGAATAGATTGAAAAGTAGTAATATGATAAATAGAATGCGATATATAATGTCCGGCTCAAATATTTAGGTCACAAAAAGAGTAAATAAAGGTTGACAACTAACTAAACGTCAATTCCCTTCCTGCACATGCATAGTAGGGCAATCGACATAAGAGTCACTGGGACATCTGTATTCCTAAGTCCAAAATGAACGGTTGGAGAGAAGACCTTACCACAAAATCCACATTCAAGTAAACGTTTTATATGAATTTACTTGGTTCATCCATGATTACGGATTGATATAAATTGTAGAACTAATGTAATCCACGATGGAGTAACGCACAGTTTCCTCTTAGTTTGAAACTCATCAGATGTACACGCCTACTGGTGGTCGTGCCCACAACTCTCGAGTTACAAGGTGACCTCGTACAGTCGGCTGGTCACACTATTATGAACTAATTGGTAGGAATTGTAATTCGTGATCAAATGTGAAATACATAGTATGTAGTGAACAAACGAGACAAATAAAATGAAATAAGAACAAATTAGTTCAGCGAAGAGTCTCTTTTCGGCGAATTCATTCACTTAGCTGTACAGTCGCGAATATATATACAATTATTTTGTGTGTGTACAGTAGGTTTGTCAAAATCAAAATAACAGTTAGTGTGGGTTGTTGATTATATCATCAAAATAATGAAGAAGTTAAAATGTGTGATTAATAATCAAAGTTGTAACTAAGTGGGGTGAAGATTGGTAAGATGTAAGTAGGGTTACGTAATATATACATGTTTAGAAAGATTAGATGCTAGTGAAGGAGTTTGTAGACAATTATGAAAATAAACTAGAAAATAGGTGAAAAGATTGAATGGGTTAGTTACTAAAAATTGTTATACGGAAAAATTGCAAAAATTTGATAGCATAATGTTGATGACAAATAAACTAGAAATCAAACCCACGGTAGTAGGAGGGGATGGAGAAGTTTCTTCTGTGTGCATAACTCAGGCTTTTCCATCCAAATCGCTAAGGCTTCAGCAATACAAAGTATACGGAAGCTTGTCGATTTTGGAAGGCTTTTCGACTTATCCTTGCAAATCGAATGGCCAGTGTTTAGTATATGCTCAATAAAAGCGCTCCTTATTGCTTGCTCCGTTGTTACCTTTTCGTAGCCAGGCGGGATAGTGTTCTTGAACTCTTTTAGATAAAACTCGCATCGAACGACCTATACACCTCGCTCCGCAAGAGCAGGTGAATTGGTAGATACACATGGAAGTGGTCAAATGCGATAGTTTATCTTTAGAGTAGTTGAAGAACAATGGCCAGGAGGAAAATGTCAGTCGTAGTGTGGCAGCGAAGAATGTCCTTCTGAGAGCAGTAGATGTCCTCTTCTTCAAGGTGTCAGGCAGAAGGTCACCTTTGAAGGGTACATTCATGTAGACCATCTTCTTCTGCACTGTAATGGGTTTTTCTTTGTAAGTCTTAGGCTTAATGTGCTTGTCTATAAAACGGGGTGGGTAGCCATTCTCGAGCAGTGTCTTCCTTAAGAGGGCGATCTCTTCCTCTATTGATTCAGGACTACAGATTTTTCGGATAATAGTCGCCAGAGATATTATCAAATTTCGCTTGCGACTTATTGGTGGCAGGGTGGCAACTATTGAAAACTTGAAGAATAATATTTTGATCACAATTGTGATCGCAGATGACGAAAGTATCATCGACATACCTTTTGTATAAGGATTTGTCGATGGTTGCTTTCAGCGGACCGTTTTCCAAACTTGCCATGAAAATATCAGCCAGCACTGGACCCAAAGGTGATCCGCCACGCCATCTTGTTGTCTATAGAAGTTCCCATTGAATGTGAACTGGACATTTAGGGTACATCTGAGTAGGAGTTCTTTTAGCTTGGTTGTAGGTATTCCAATATCCAGGTTGTTTTCTTCCAAGTATTTGCATAGAAAACAAATCGTCTCAGTGATAGGAACGTTTGTAAAGAGAGACTCGACGTCGAGTGAAATCATACGTTTGTCTCCCACTTTAACATCTTTGATGCAATCGATGAATTCAAAGGTATCCCGAAGAGAATGTTTCGAAATTCGTTCTCTAACAGGTTGTAGGAGTTCTGCTAGCCATTTCGCTATTGGATGATATGGTGATCCCGACATGTCCAAAATAGGGCGCAGTGGAAGACCCTGTTTATGAGTTTTTGGCAATCCGTATAGTCGGGGTATTATTGAACCTGTGGGTCGAATGCTCTCGAAGACATTTTCAGAGATAACTTGATCAGTCTTTAGCTTTCTCAAGATCTCAGTTAGCTGTTTTACCGTTGCTTCGGTTTGTCTTTCTCTTTTTCGAATACTGAGAATTTATTGTTGTCTGAGAGAATCGGCATCATTTTATTAATATAATCTTTTCTATCCATTAAGACTATGCCCCTACCTTTGTCAGGACGTGTGATAAGCAATTCTTTGTTCTGCCTCAGTTGTTTGAGTTGTTCTCTATGTTCTTTGGTCAAAAGATTGTTGAACTTGAACTTTGTATTGAGATACTGTTGACAAGAGTCTAGAATAGTGGACTTGAAATGTTTGAATTCTTCTTCGGAAGCTGGGACAAGATCAGTAGTCTGGTTGATGAAATTTTCAAACTCGACATAAGTATTGAGCTTGCTTATGTTGGAGTTCATTTCGCGAAATCTTGGGTGTGTAGTCGTAGGCATCCATTTTACACTCATTTTTATCACATTATTTGTAAACAAATATTCAACCAAATAAGTTATCCGATTGAAGATTGACTAAACATGGTCAACGCTCTCATCGTGATCAACATTCTCATTATTGTCACGGTTATCAGCTGAATGGAATAAATTTGACAGCTTGTTTAATAACATCATGATATAATTTTAAGTAGACAAAATATTAAGAGGGTGTCGACAACTAGGTTGATGATGATAAAAACGTTATTCAAATTATATCCAACTGTAATGTGATGAGATTTGTTACAGGCACATGAAGTGCACGCACATACACACACACATGAAGAGAATCACACAGCACATCATTTACACTGAGCAATGCAGGTCGAATAGCTCGGTTTTCTGAAACAATTTGAATCTTTGACTAGGTTGGTGATAGTGTCGGGCATTGTTATTATTATTATTATTCCCTTCTTTTCCGAGTGTAAAATAGGGATTTAACACCATGTCCCCACAATATCCTATTTTCTGTGGTCCACATCACCTGGCCTCACGATTGCCCATATAGAAGAACTGACTGACTTACCATCGGCGTTGAAAATCCTAACCATGTTCTACATGCTGAGTGCAGAAGACGTCCACAGTGATTTCAGAGTGGTGAAGGTGAGACATGCATTTACGATTCTGTCATATGTAGTTGAAACAATCCTGTCTAGACGAGTTGTAGTGATTGGTGTTTGATGTTGTTGATTTTGTTGTTTGTTCTGGTGGGATAATGGGAAACACTATAATATTCAATGACTATAACATCTTGGTAATAAAACAGGGAATGAACCTTGCTTTCATCGTATATTGTTTGTCTTAAATTATTAACATTTCCTGGATGCCTTTGCATTTCTCTTGGTGTGTTCTTCTGTCCTCCCTTTTCAAAGGCACTGCATTGGAACATTGCATTTGCACAGTAATACTGCTTTCTAAGTTTGTATTACTTAAACAGAGTGTCGAAATCAATAGTACCTACATTTCGGAACACCGAGCTATTTGACCTTCACTGCTCATTGTAGATGCTGTGCTGTGTGAATCCGTTCGTGTGTGTGTATGAGCCGCATGCTTAACGAGACATTCGATATCACATTCTGTTTATCATATTACTACTTTTTCAATCTATTCAAACTACTTTTGTTCAGTTTTTTTATTACTTTTTTAGGTAGTGCTTCAAACATGTTTACATGACTGTTTGCAAGGGAAGAGTTGCCTCTATCATCAGTCATTTTGCTAGCGATATTAGTG